AAGAGTGTATTTATTAGGATGCTTTTGTTTTGCAAGTAACTGAGAAACCCAATTTAAACTGACTTAATGTTTAAAGGAATTTATTGGCTTATATAACTAAAAAGCTAAAGGTATGTTACATTTCAGGTAAAGCTTGATTCAACAGCTTAACTGCCTTTTTATCCTTTTCATAATTCAGTAGTATCAACTTTATTCTAGTGCTAGCTCCTCCCACAGTATTAAAAATGGTCAGCAACAATTTGGGTTTATGTGCTTTCTTCATTTGTGTCCAGCAGGGGGAGTTTTCCCAATTTTTCGTTCTCCAACTTTGGTAATAAAATCACAGGCTTCATTCTGAATAGACCAGTTTAGGTCATAAATCCATCCCTTTGTCAATCATTGTAGCAGGGTGGATGGAAATATGCCTATTGGCTTAAGCTATTGATTGGCTACCCTTGGAGGTAGAGGTGAGGTCAGTCCTGGTCAGATTACATGCTGATGTATGGAGGATAGGTGGGCTTAGTGCCACCTGCAATGTCCATTTTACAAGGAAGGAATGGAAAGAAAGGAAGCCATCCATCGTGCCAAATATCATTAGATATTATTTCTGTGTTTCTCTTTTAGTGTTACATTGTTTTTCTTTTATGTTTTTGTCTCATTAGCAAATTGTTTGCAACAGAAAACTATTTGGCAGCTATTAATGCATACAACTTAGCCATAAGACTAAATAATAAGATTCCACTACTGTATTTGAATCGGGCTGCTTGCCATCTAAAACTGAAAAACTTACACAAGGCCATAGAAGATTCTTCTAAGGTATGTGTATCTATTTATTTATATATGGTGCTTTAAAATTGTTATGCTCCTATTTATTGGTTTAAATGATGCCCTTTTGTCAGTTAAATTTGAATAAGTGAGTTGCAAGGATTTTAAGAATCTTGCTTTTTACATCTTTTTACTGGAAAAAAAAATGCTTTTTTTTTTTGTCCATGCCATGTGGCTTGCAGGATCTTAGTTCCCCAACTAGGGACCGAACCTGTGTCCCCTGCACAGAGTCCTAACCAATGGACCCCCAGGGAATTCCCCCCAAAAAGAATTTTTTTAATGGACAAGGAACTAGTGTTTCTTGAGACTTCAAATTAGATTAGAGATCCCCTACCAATTGCCCTGGTGTATTAGTTGAAGCTCAGAAGGAAATTAGTAAATGGTTGTCAGTTTGTGCTCACCTTTTTTCTTATTAAAGTTTTGCAGACTTGATGCTAGATAGAAGAACACTTGGTATCACTACCGCTTGCACAGTAAAAGGATATCTCCCTGATTATTTTTCCATTTTCAGAGTAACTTAGTATATTCTAATTTCCATTATGAATATCATGTCATTATCTTTTTTTTTTTTTTTCCCGGTATGCGGACCTCTCACTGTTGTGGCCTCTCCCATTGCGGAGCACAGGCTCCGGATGTGCAGGCTTAGCGGCCATAGGCTCACAGGCCCAGCCGCGCCGCGGCATGTGGGATCTTCCCGGACCAGGGCACGAACCCGTGTCCCCTGCATCGGCAGGCGGACTGTCAACCACTGTGCCACCAGAGAAGCCCTAGTCCTCATATTTTGATCTCATTAAGCTATTGAAGATGTGACAATATTTTTGTGATCTAGTTTTCCTTTTAGTAGCATAATTTCGGGCACAAACAAATATTTATTGAATGAATGAACGGAATCACCAAATTTAAATATAAAAGCATTATATATAGTATATATAATACTATAATTAATAGCATTAATTAAATTAATGCTATTTAATCATCCCTGCTAGTAAAGGTAAAGCTGTAGAGGTTTCAAATGATAAACTAAATCATAAGTTTGGGGGCAAGGGTGTGAATCTCATATAGGAACAATTGAACAAGTCCTAAAATTGTTCAACATAAATGTATATATTTGATAAATTCCTGTCCTAGTTAAGCCAAAAATTTAGGTGGGTGAGGGCTTGAGGCTTGTTTTAAAGTTGAGTTTTATCATGTTTTTGCTCAAGTTTAAATTAGGAAATTATATTTTTCCCTATTTTTTTTCTTTTTGTAAGGCACTAGAATTATTGACACCACCTGTTGCAGACAATGCTAATGCAAGAATGAAGGCACACGTACGACGTGGAACAGCATTCTGTCAACTAGAATTGTATGTAGAAGGTAAGAAATGACAGAAATGTTTTAAGTTCCAAGTTATACTCTAAAAAAAATGTCATTGCCATTATTCAAGATGACTCCATTATTTTATAGTTTTAGCATTTAATTTATTCTTTGCAATTTATCTGACAAAACAAGATGATTTGAAATATTTTAAAAAATCATTGTTGTAGAAGGGAATTAACACAAGATATAAACATCTCCCTAGGTCTAGGGAGATGCTGTAGTATCAGACAAGTTTTTTTGTGGAAAGATGTGTGATAAATGAGTCACTTAAGATATAATGGAAATTTTAAAATGAGCTTCTTTGGTCAGACACACAGACACTACATACATACATATATACATACATACATTCATAAGCTCAGAAATAACTGATCTACCACAATGTATGATCAATTGCTTATTTTTGTGAGACCGTACTAAGGTTCGTAATTCAGTCTCATGTGTATGGAAGCCATATTTATTTAATTTTTATTGTTTTAATTTAATTTAATTTTTATTGTTTTTCATTTTTAATGTAATTAAGGACTATTTGCAGTTACTCATGTTGCCCCCGAGTTTTATCTTCAGTGTTCTTCTTCCCATACTTCCCTACCCAGATTCCCATTCAGTTTCCCTTTATTCAAGGCCTAAAGGCCTATTCCTGATGATGTCTTGCCAGGGAATTGGCTTTAGCTTATAAAGTTTTATTATTTCTGACTTGTTTGTAAGTTTGTTTCTGCCATTTTTAGGTTTTTCCAACCAAAGCATACAAATTAGATTTATATGCCTATCCTTTTTTTTAAGAGTCTTATTCAGCTTCATGAGGATAAAAATTATCAAGACAGGAATGAAACACTCTAAGCATTCTTTAGGAATTACAGCATCCTAGATGTTTTTGAGCTAAAAGGACCCTCCCTTCATTTTAAAGATGAGAAAATGGAGACTTAGAGACATTAAGTGATTTGTGTGAAGTGGCATGGCAAGTGAATAGCACCTGGAAGTCAAGTTTCCTTAGAAATTCTTCTCACTGATATTTTTGTTAAAGATTTAGATTCAGTTATATATATATATATATATATATTTTTTTTTTTTTTGCGGTACGCGGGCCTCTCACTGCTGTGGCCTCTCCCGTTGCGGAGCACAGGCTCCGGACGCGCAGGCTCAGCGGCCATGGCTCACGGGCCCAGCCGCTC